ATTAACTTTTTTTAAAGAATATTAAAAAGTTTGTTTTTAGTTTTACCTAAACCTGAGGTTACACCATTCACCGCAGCCACAACAACTTTAGGAAACCTTGATAGTTCGAAGATCAATCTCTCTACAGCTGAAATTAAAAACTTATTTGAAAATGTGCAAATATTATTTTCAACCGTATCGCAGTGAAAACTGTTCAGTACTGTCGACATAATGTCACCCTTCATTTATAGAGGGAGCGTGCCCAATTAAAAACGTTACTTTTGAAACGTTCCACTGAGCAAAAAAGATATCCTTGTTTTTCTATCTGAAAATAGGTAGTTTCAAATAGTGGTTTATGCAGATTTATGCTGCAGACAAGAAGTCAAAGCGTGTACTTTTTTTCTTACAGAAAAAGGACGATATCTTTGTTTTTACAAGCGTCTACTTGATGTAACGCTCTCATAGACTTTCAAAAATATTTCTTCTTGCTTTGAACTTTTCCGAAATTAAGATTATAACCCAAACACTATTATTCTGACAAGCCAATTCTATGATATGGGGTTTCTGGACCACTACTAGAAAAATATAATAAGTCAAAGGAGCGTAATTTCAAGTGACCCTTCATGTAAAGAGGGATATGGCCGATTTACAAAGAAACACTGTTCATCGAGTAAAAGTGCTGTTTGTTTTATTATCTTTAAATCCACTCGACTCCCTCTTAATAGCGGTGTACGCTGTGAACAGTTTGAACCCAACACAGCTGATGCACTACCGAATAATATATTAAGAACGGTTTCCAAGATTATGAAAGAAAATAACTATTTTATAGAAACGGAAAATTAACATTTCTAAAACAGCAAACCTAGTGTTTTTGTAGATTAATGAGAATAAGTCCCACGAGGGAGGGGGTGCAGAACATCCATTTGAAATTCAGAAAAACAAAATAAGTCTTAATCTCAATGAAAGTAGACTTCATAACACAAATTATTTATGCTATGTACTATTAAAAACTGTATGANCCTTGGTAGAATACATTCTCTAGACCTTAATAATACATAAGATCAACCCCTTGGTAGAATACATTCTCTAGACCTTAATAATACATAAGATCAACCCCTTGGTAGAATACATTCTCTAGACCTTAATAATACATAAGATCAACCCCTTGGTAGAATACATTCTCTAGACCTTAATAATACATAAGATCAACCCCTTGGTAGAATACATTCTCTAGACCTTAATAATACATAAGATCAACCCCTTGGTAGAATACATTCTCTAGACCTTAATAATACATAAGATCAACCCCTTGGTAGAATACATTCTCTAGACCTTAATAATACATAAGATCAACCCCTTGGTAGAATACATTCTCTAGACCTTAATAATACATAAGATCAACCCCTTGGTAGAATACATTCTCTAGACCTTAATAATACATAAGATCAACCCCTTGGTAGAATACATTCTCTAGACCTTAATAATACATAAGATCAACCCCTTGGTAGAATACATTCTCTAGACCTTAATAATACATAAGATCAACCCCTTGGTAGAATACATTCTCTAGACCTTAATAATACATAAGATCAACCCCTTGGTAGAATACATTCTCTAGACCTTAATAATACATAAGATCAACCCCTTGGTAGAATACATTCCCTAAACCTTAATAATACATAAGATCAACCCCTTGGTAGAATACATTCCCTAGACCTTAATAATACATTAGAAAAACCTCTTGACAGAAAACATTCCGTTGACTTTAATAATACATTATATCAACCTCTTGACAGAAAACATTCCGTAGACTTTAATAATACATTATATCAACCTCTTGACAGAGAACATTTTGTTGACTTTAATAATACAATATATCAACCTCTTGACAGAATACATTCCCTAGACTTCAATAATAAACTTGACGGAAATAATTTTTCAATTTTTCTGAAGACATTATAAGACGAAATATCAATTCTATTTAAAACTAAAACCAATGACCACAATTATGAAAAAAACGGCTGTTACTCATTAAACTTATATCATGACATAAACATATTTCTACCATGGAACACCAGAACTTAACATTAAATAAACACGATTTACAATGCATATTTTTAAAACTTTGTTTCTCATCCTTGTCTTCAGCAACTCTCTAATAATGTTTGCTTTTAACGACATCTTGTTTTTGGATTCGGATAATTTTTTCCAGGGCGAATTCGCATTAAAAATTAAGTCGATCTAAAGCACTTGTTTTATTTTGTATACCTGTTAATATAACAGCTTTGTACATTCTTGTCGAGGCTACAAAGTTTAAGAGTTGAATAATCTCGTCTATACAGGCCGGACTCAAGCTCCCGGCCAACTTAGTCTTACTCGGAGCTATTGTAACCTGGGCAAAACTCTCATATAATCTTACATACACTTCACTAAACGCTCCGGGGGATTTCAGGGGACTCATCCTCTCGTTGTTTATACAAGCCCGGATATCTTCAAGCCGGTCAGAGTCAGGTTTACACCCGACCTTAGTCCGTAAACTAGCGAGCTGGTCAACCCTAGAGGAGGAAGGACTACAAGGAACCTGGTTTAACGGCTTGGACGGAACTAGAGGTTTAGTTTGGACAGGTTTGGTTGGCGTCACAGGTTTGGTTGTTTGGGGAGCAGGTACATGTCTGGTTGAAACCAGTTTGGACGGAAGGTTTGGGTTTGGGAGCCCTTGTTGTGGTAAACTATATCTAAAACATTTCCAATAATAAACACGTATTTCTCTATAATAATAATTGGCTAGAATTCTTAATTTAGAGCTAAGTTATTAGTTTTCATGTGAATCTAAATAAAAATACATTCATGAAGTTTTGTTAATTATTTTATTAATTCAACCTGAAATTGAGATTTATTGGTCTATTTTAAGATTAGAGAGAAAACATTATATCAATAAATTGATTGATTGATCCTTGAATTCAATAAATCTAATTGAACTAAATATAAAAATCTTAAGAAATAGAAAGAGAAAGGGGGAACTTCTCAAATTACTCTACTAATTGATTATTTAATTGATCAACTGATTGCCAAATTGATTGATTGATTGATTGGATTGTTCCCTGATATCGCAGCTCATGACTGTCTCCAGTAGTTCAGCTGGTAGCTCCCGGAGATAAATAAATGAATCTTCCTGCATCAAACACAAATATTTTATTAATAGCATCTCAATTCTTTTGTATGGATGCTGGTGGTTTGTTGACATGTCGGAACTTTGTGTTGAGTATCGTTATTATTGAACGCCTGATTTTGATATCCAATAATGGAGGCTTTTGAATTTGAGCATCAATGCTTGGCCCCACAATAAAATTTATCCCTGCAGGATATGACAACTACGGGATATCGAAGCTGAATTAAATTAACCCGTAGGTCTGCATATGATGGAGATCAATGCTATATCACGCGATTCACAAGCGTTCTGACTTCAGAAACATCTTTGAGCTGGAATTTTGGTCAAGTTGCGTTTTCCAAAAATGATATTAAATATATATTTTGATAGCAATTTTTTTAAAAAAGGAACGTGGACGCCCTGAATTCTTATATATTAGTCAACAGCCCTGAATTCTTATATGTTAGTCAACACTTAACACCCTGAATTCTTATATGTTAGTCAACACTCAACACCCTGAATTCTTTTTTGTTATTCAGCACTCAACGCCCCTGAATTCTTTATGTTAGTCAACACTCAACAGCCCTGAATTCTTTTATGTTAGTCAACACTCAACACCCTGAATTTTTATATGTTATTCAACACTTTACCAACACCCCTGAATTCTTATGTTAGTCAACACACAACACCCTGAATGATTCAAAGGTCCTCAAATTAATGTTTATGTCCCTGATCTGAATGTGGACGAGGGTTGAATTTAATCTCATTGCCACCAAGTAGTTGAGATGAGAGGTTTCTTGATACCAGACCAATATCCGGCTTTATATCCTGGTAAAATAGTAGAAAATCTTAAATATCTGGCTTTATATCCTGGGCTGAAAACTTTAGAATGGTGGATATTGAGATTAATGCTTGATCCTCTGTTTTTATTAATTCGGGACTAACTTAATCTTGTACTTGTATCCTGAAAAGTGTATAAAATCCAACCAATCAGAGTCGCGTATATGAAGCCGATAAATTTGAAATTTTGCGCGTCATTTAAGATTAATATACAGAAACGGGAGGGACTCTAATTTTTGATTTTTCTCTACTATAACTAAGATAGAACGGTTTAAGAAGAAAATCAAAAGTATTGCTATTGGATACTCAGATTGAGTAATCGGGATTAAGGATATCTCATTTTAAAGTTTTCAGCTCTGGTTAAATAGTGGAAAATCTGAAATATCCGGCTTTAAATCCTGGTAAAATAGTAGAAAATCTTAAATGTCCGGCTTTAAATCCTGGTAAAATATTAAAAAATCTGAAATATCCGGCTTTATAGATCCTGGTAAAAAAGTAGAAAATCTTAAATATCCGGCTTTATATCCTGGTAAAAATTGGGAAATCTTATTTTTAAAGCACAGCTGTGAATTGTATGTGTATTTTTTTGTCACATTCAGGAATGGGGGGGGAGGGGGTCTATACAAAATGTTATATCTAGGGAAAATGAATTATATAAGAGAAAATAAATTATTTACAAGGGAAAATAAATTATTCAAAAGGGAAAATAAATTATTCAAAAGGGAAAATAAATTAATTATTAAGGAAAATAAATTATTTATTAGGGAAAATAAATTATTTATTAGGGAAAATTAATTATTCATGAGGGAAAATAAATTATTTACAAGGGAAAATAAATTATTTATAAGTGAAAATAAATTATTTATATGGGAAAATATATTATTTATAAGGGAAAATAAATGAATTTTTGGGCTCAGATAAATTAAACATAAAATATTAAATGGCAAGTTTTTTCGCCCTTTTAACAATTTTGCTCCCGAATTTCGTTTACTTCCAATTAAAAATCATTGAACATTCGCACAAATATCTTTGACTTCTTAGTGGAGAAATGATCAAAGAGGGGGGACGATTTTTTAAAAATGTAAAGTGAATACACCCCTGACTCTTCATTTTAGATTTTTATAATTTTCTAAATATGTAAATTTGTTGTTGTAAGTTGTGTTTTTCTTGTTCTTTAAGTGCATGTTTAAAAAAGCATCGGATAAAATGACGAAAATTGCATAAACGTAGAATTGAATACCTTTTGTTTATTTCTGGTTGTGTTTACATGTTTAGGTTTAGCAGCTGCAGTTCTAGCTCTGTGTACACGGGGGTTCCCGGAGTGTGAGGGTACTGGCACCTCACCGTACACTGATGGAACCCTACAATATGTAAATTGTACATGTTCTACACAAACTAAACATTGTTGAAGTTTTTCGCCCGGAAATCAAATTATATAAATATCCTATTATCCGTTCTTTCAGTTTTCGTCTACATACATTTTAACCTTGTTGTGTGTACAATCTTCAAAATAAAATAGCATGATTAATCAACCTGAGGTAAAATACCTTTTGTTTAATTTTATATTTTTTCCTGTTTCAAAGCATTATCCAAGGTATGATCCAAGGTATGATCCAAGGTATGATCCAAGGTATGATCCAAGGTATGATCCAAGGTATGATCCAAGGTATGATCCAAGGTATGATCCAAGGTATGATCTAAGGTATGATCCAAGGTATGATCCAAGGTATGATCTAAGGTATGATCCAAGGTATGATCCAAGGTATGATCTAAGGTATGATCCAAGGTATGATCCAAGGTATGATCTAAGGTATGATCCAAGGTATGATCCAAGGTATGATCTAAGGTATGATCCAAGGTATGATCCAAGGTATGATCTAAGGTATGATCCAAGGTATGATCCAAGGTATGATCTAAGGTATGATCCAAGGTATGATCCAAGGTATGATCTAAGGTATGATCCAAGGTATGATCCAAGGTATGATCTAAGGTATGATCCAAGGTATGATCCAAGGTATGATCTAAGGTATGATCCAAGGTATGATCCAAGGTATGATCTAAGGTATGATCCAAGGTATGATCCAAGGTATGATCTAAGGTATGATCCAAGGTATGNCCTAAAGTTGCCAACTGCCATTTAGATTTCCAGAGTTTAGGTTTCTTTTTGGGTGGGCTTCCTAGGCCCGCCTTCTTTAAACTCATTGGACTCAGCAACAATTCTACTTTAACAGATTTAATAATACTTTCAGCAACTTTTAAGTAGAATCTAATGAACTGTCGATCATCTAGAAACATAGAAGGGGGGGGGCAGTGTTAAGAATCCAGATTTGGATCCGAAATATTTTGGTTCCTTGGATTGCAAATAGTGTGCGGTTCCAATGCAATGCATCAAACAAAACTACTAACGAAGTACAAATATCAAATATACTAAACTAGAAGGACTAGTAAAAATGAACGACCGATAAAAATCACCTCTCATGGGTCATCGGTCAATGAAGTTTTAAGAATACAAAAAATTAAAACAAGAAATTTGTCAAACTAAGTATTTCAAGGATGGATGCGTATCAAAATGAAATGGTACCCCTAGAACTGAGGGGAATGGACAAAATTAATTTGATGAATTTGCAATAAAATTGCTGAAAAAAATAACATTGATGAGATTTAGGTTCGTTGGTTAAAATTCCAACAGAATACTTTAGGATTTTTGCATACACTTTGTTTACTTAGTTTCACTTGTAAACATCCATATATATGCTTTGCTTGTCTGTCTGTTCGTTTTCAACCAATCAACGTCAAACTTCTAAACCAGTTTGGCCCAGATTTATTGTGGAACCTCACAAAAAAAATAAAATATTTGTAAACGTCCATAAATATGCTTTGCTTGTCTGTCTGTTCGTTTTTAACCGATAAACGCCAAAACGTCTAAACCAGTTTGGCCCAGATTTATTGTGGGACCTCACAAAAAAAAATAAAAAATATTTGCATGAAAATTTTAGATTTTTCAATAGTATAGTATAGCATAGTGAATACATGATTCTGAAGTTTAAGTGTGTTTATTAATTTTCCTTTAAGCTGCTTCGTTTTGTCAGGGCTCGGTGTGGAAGATCTTTTACTCGGAGATTTACTCATTGTCTACGCAATTACGCAATAAATATCAAGAGTTAAATAAACGCAAAGCTTTGGCAAGAAAAGCGTTTCCTTCAAAAAACTTTGTAGGAATATAATAAAGTTCTTTTTATATGTAACGCAACTGAATCATTTAAATGAAGAAATTAAATCTAATTTAAAAAGATTTATATTTGATTTAATAATTATTGAAAAAAATTTAAAATGCGATTTGAAGAATTATACAATTTAACGTCGATACAAAGTATAGCAAATTCGTTGATTGCCTAGGTTGCATATTTGAATAAACAATATTAGCTTTGTTATAGACAAGGGTTGGTAGTATTACATTACTAGGTTGCATATTTGAATAAACAATATTAGCTTTGTTATAGACAAGGGTTGGTAGTATTACATTACAATCCAACATATTAATTACTTAAATAGCTATCAGGGGTGTATACTGTATATTTATCAGAATTATGTAAAATTGGACCCAACAAAAACCCAGAAACTCATTTAATGTTACCCATAATCATTCATTTTCCCCAATGGCAGCAAATAACCCCATAAAATATTCCGTGCTAACATAAATTACTACTGGGATAACAAATTATTATCAAAATGGAGGAAGGGGTAACATTTTTTGGGTCCGTCATGGAGAACGATTTTTAGACACCCCCCCCCC